TGGAGCACCACCTGGAAGGACTGGGGCTTGGTGCGTTGGCAGCACTTGATGAAGCCCTCCCACACCTTGGGGTACTTCCACACCTGGGGGGGGACAGAGAAGGGTTGAGGGGGGGGCCCTGGGGGCTCCACACTCCCCCCCCAGCCCTGGGACCACGGGTGGGCATAGGGATGGGGACACTGAAAGGGAAGGGAGGGACACGGGGACAGTGGGACAGGACAAACAGACACCCCGGGGGGACAGCCAGGGACAGCAGGATGGGAGGGACAGACAGACAGACACCCACGGGGACAGTGGGACGGGACAGACAGATGGCCAGGGGGACACAAAGGGATGGGGTGAGCAGCCCCCTGTAGGGACAGTCACCTGCTGTGACACCCAGGGACAGCAGGACAGGACGGACAGACACCCAGAGGGACTCAGGGACGCCCAGAGGGACATCCAGGGAGATGGAAGGGCAGGCAGAGGGACGTGGGGACATACAGAGGGACTGATGGACACCCAGAGAGACACAGAGGGCCCCCCCCCCCCCCAGCCCTGGGACCACGGGGGAGCAGCGGCCACGGGTGGGCACAGGGATGGGGACACTGAGAGGGAAGGGGGGGACACGGGGACAGTGGGACAGGACAGACAGACACCCACGGGGATGGACACCCCCAGGGGGACATCCAGGGACAGCAGGATGGGAGGGACAGACAGACAAACACCCACGGGGACAGTGGGACAGGACAGACAGACGGCCAGGGGGACACAAAGGGATGGGGTGAGCAGCCCCCTGTAGGGACAGTCACCTGCTGTGACACCACCCAGGGACAGCAGGACAGGACGGACAGACACCCAGAGGGACTCAGGGACACCCAGAGGGACATCCAGGGAGATGGAAGGGCAGGCAGAGGGACGTGGGGACATACAGAGGGACTGATGGACACCCAGAGGGACTGAGGGACACCCAGAGGGACAACCAAGGAGATGGAAGGGCAGGCAGAGGGACACAGGGACAGGCAGAGGGACACCCAGAAGGACTGATGGACACCCAGAGGGACTGAGGGACACCCAGAGGGACACCCAGGGAGATGGAAGGACAGGCAGAGGGACGTGGGGACATACAGAGGGACTGATGGACACCCAGAGAGACACAGAGGGACACTGAGAGGGACAGAGGGACACCCAGGGAGGACATGGGGACATACAGAGGGACATGCAGAGGGACTGATGGACACCCAGAGGGACAGAGGGACACTCACAGGGACAGAGGGACATGCAGAGGGACACGCAGAGGGACACCCAGGGAGAGGGACACGGGGACAGGAAGAGGGAGACCCAGAGGGACACAGGGACACCCAGAGGGACAACCAAGGAGATGGAAAGGCAGGCAGAGGGACATGGGGACATACAGAGGGACTGACGGACACCCGGAGGGACACGCAGAGGGACACTGAGAGGGACACCCAGGGAGAAGGATATGGGGACATACAGAGGGACATGCAGAGGGACACTCAGGGAGAGGGACAGGCAGAGGGACACAGAGGTATGGATGGATGGATGGATGGATGGACAGACGTGCAGACAGACACGCGGGACATGGAGAGGGCCAGGGGACACCCAGGGGGACACCCAGGGAGATGGAAGGCCAGGCAGAGGGACACACAGAGGGATGGATGGATGGATGGATGGATGGATGGATGGAACAGAGGGACTGAGGGACACACAGAGGGACACCCAGGGAGATGGAAGGCCAGGCAGAGGGACGTGGGGACATACAGAGGGACTGATGGACACCCAGAGAGACACAGAGGGACACTGAGAGGGACAGAGGGACACCCAGGGAGGACATGGGGACATACAGAGGGACATGCAGAGGGACTGATGGACACCCAGAGGGACAGAGGGACACTCACAGGGACAGAGGGACATGCAGAGGGACACGCAGAGGGACACCCAGGGAGAGGGACACGGGGACAGGAAGAGGGAGACCCAGAGGGACACAGGGACACCCAGAGGGACAACCAAGGAGATGGAAAGGCAGGCAGAGGGACATGGGGACATACAGAGGGACTGACGGACACCCGGAGGGACACGCAGAGGGACACTGAGAGGGACACCCAGGGAGAAGGATATGGGGACATACAGAGGGACATGCAGAGGGACACTCAGGGAGAGGGACAGGCAGAGGGACACCCAGAGGGACTGAGGGACACCCAGAGGGACTGAGGGACACCCAGAGGGACACCCAGGGAGATGGAAGGCCAGGCAGAGGGACACAGAGGTATGGATGGATGGATGGATGGATGGATGGATGGACAGACGTGCAGACAGACACGCGGGACATGGAGAGGGCCAGGGGACACCCAGGGGGACACCCAGGGAGATGGAAGGCCAGGCAGAGGGACACACAGAGGGATGGATGGATGGATGGATGGATGGATGGATGGATGGATGGATGGATGGATGGATGGACGTGCAGACAGACACACGGGACACGGAGAGGGCCAGGAGGACCCCCAGGAGGACCTGCTTCATGATGAGGCGGGAGAGGATGTTCATGACGAAGCCGCCCAGGCGGGGGTACATGGTGAGGGCCTGGATGACGGTGCGCATCAGCAGCATGGGCAGGGGGCTCTGCTCCATCAGCTGCTGCATCACCACCGCCAGCACCTCCGAGGTGTAGACGTTCCTCTCGGCGAAGCACAGGTTGGTGGCTGCAAGGGACAACGAGGAGGAAGAGGTGTCACCTCCCCTCCGGCCGGCACCAGGGTGTCACCCCCGCCCCGCGGCACCCACCCTTGATGATGGACTTCATGTCGCACTTGGAAGAGTCGATGTTGTGGAGGGCGATGAGCAGCTCCCCCGGGTTCAGCGGGGACACGGCCGAGGCACCGTCACCTGCCAGGGGACAGCAGTGAGGTGGCCCCGTCCCTCAGGAGCTCGGGGTGGGGACAGGGACCAGCTGCCAGGGCCCATGTCCCACCCCATGGTGGCCCCAGAGGCGAGGACTGGCCCTGGGGTCACCCTGTGTCCCTGCAGCCATTCCCAGGTAGGTGCCACATCTAATGTCCCACCCCAGAGAGGTCCCATGTCCCCACATTGAGCACTGGGACTGTCCCCAGGGATGCTCCATGGTGTCCCACAACAATGGAGCAGTCCCATATCCCACCCCAGGGAGGTCCCATGTCTCCACAGTGAGCACTAGAACTGTCCCCAGGGATGCTCCATGCTGTCCCACCCCAGGATGGCCCCGTGTCCCCACAGTGAGCCGTGGGACTGTCCCCAGGGATGCTCCATGCTGTCCCACCCCAGGATGGCCCCGTGTCCCCACAGTGAGCCGTGGGACTGTCCCCAGGGATGCTCCATGCTGTCCCACCCCAGGATGGCCCCGTGTCCCCACAGTGAGCCGTGGGACTGTCCCCAGGGATGCTCCATGCTGTCCCACCCCAGGATGGCCCCGTGTCCCCACAGTGAGAACGGGAACTGTCCCCAGGGATGGTCCATGCTGTCCCACCCCAGGATGGCCCCGTGTCCCCACAGTGAGCACTGGGACTGTCCCCAGGGATGCTCCATGGTGTCCCACCACGGAGAGGTCCCATGTCCCATCCCAGAGAGGTCCTATGTCCCCACAGTGAGCATTGGGACTGTCCCCAGGGATGCTCCATGCTGTCCCACCCCAGGGAGGTCCCATGTCCCCACAGTGAGCACTGGGACTGTCCCCAGGGATGCTCCATGGTGTCCCACCATGACAGAGCAGTCCCATATCCCACCCCAGGGAAGTCCCATGCCTCCACAGTGAGCACTAGAACTGTCCCCAGGGATGGCCCATGCTGTCCCACCCCAGGGAGGTCCCATGTCCCCACAGTGAGCACTGGGACTGTCCCCAGGGATGCTCCATGGTGTCCCACCACAGAGAGGTCCCATGTCCCATCCCAGAGAGGTCCTATGTCCCCACAGTGAGCATTGGGACTGTCCCCAGGGATGCTCCATGCTGTCCCACCCCAGGGAGGTCCCATGTCCCCACAGTGAGCACTGGGACTGTCCCCAGGGATGCTCCATGGTGTCCCACCATGACAGAGCAGTCCCATATCCCACCCCAGGGAAGTCCCATGCCTCCACAGTGAGCACTAGAACTGTCCCCAGGGATGGCCCATGCTGTCCCACCCCAGGATGGCCCCGTGTCCCCACAGTGAGCACTGGGACTGTCCCCAGGGATGCTCCATGGTGTCCCACCACAGAGAGGTCCCATGTCCCATCCCAGAGAGGTCCCATGTCCCCACATTGAGCACTGGGACTGTCCCCAGGGATGCTCCATGGTGTCCCCCCACGGAGAGGTCCCATGTCCCACCACAGAGAGGTCCCATGTCCCCACAGCAAGCACTGGAACTGTCCCCAGGGAGGTGCCAGGCTCCGTGTCCCCCTCTGCCACATGTCCCAGGGCTGTCCCCGTCCCCTACCGTGCTGCGTCCCCAGCAGGCGGTTGAAGACCTCCTTGACCACGATAGGGTTGAGCTTGATGAGTTTGGGCAGGGCCTGGATCACCTCTTTCTGCATTCCAAAAGGGCAGCGCTCAGCCGGGGGGACGCCAGGGGAGGGGACAGAGATGGAGGGGACATGAGGAGAAGGGACACACGGATGGAGGGGACATGAGGAGAAGGGACATGAGGAGAAGGGACACACGGACAGAAGGGACTCTCTGACCTTCTCCAGCCCGTTGAGGACAGGGATGAGGAACCTCACGTCCGGCAGCCGCTTGTGATAGAGATCACGGACCCTCTTCACCAGCTCGGGCGAGGGGGGCACTGCCAGGAGGGGGGTGGCACGTCACCGGGGGGCAGGAGGTGCCACCCTGCGACGTGCCCCCCACCGGGCCCTACCTTTGTCCGTCAGGCTGTGCAGGCAGCGCGTCACCAGCGTCTCGGCTCCCTTGGGACAGTTCTCCACCAGCAGCAGCAGCTCGGGCGAGTTCATCCCCATCCCACGGATCTACGGCAGAGCCACCGCCGGTGTCACCGGGCCACCGCAACCCCCCTCTCCGTGTCCCCCCCCCCTCGACCCTCGTGGGGGTCTCACCGGCTGCTCGATGACCCGCAGGACGGTGCGTTTGATGTCGGCGATGGCCTCGGTGTAGACAGAAGCCAACTCGTGGATGAGCTTGTGGTTGTGGGGCAGCAGCGCCAGGTAGAGGTAGAGGCACTGCTTGATGGTCTCCTCCGTCCACGGCGCCGCCACCTCTGCGTCACACACGGCGTCACCGGAGCCCCCGCGACCACCCCCCAGTGGGTGCCACCCCCTCCCCAAAACTCACCTGTGTCCTTGTCGGCCCCGAAGAGGACGGAAGGTGGGTTGGGGTGCACCAGGAGCTGCAAGTAGTTGAGGGCGAACTTCTCCACGTACTCCCGAAGCTGGTCCTTCTCGTACATGCGCTTGATGAAGAGCAGGGCCTGCTGGCGGACCTGCGGAGCGGCCACGTGTCACCGGCGCAGGGACCAGGGTGTCCCCTGGGGTGCTGGTGGCCCAGCCCCGCGTTGGTACCTTGTCCTTCTCGTGGGAGCTGAGGTCCAGCAGGACGTGCAGGTACTGGAACTGCCGGGACGGCCGCTTGAAGATGAGGTCGCGCAGCGTGGACATGCCCAGGTAGGTCCGGCTCTGGAGAGAGGGGGGACACGGACGGCAGTGAGGGGACACTGGGGTTCCTCCTCATGTCCCCAACCCCTCGTGTCCCCAACCCCTCCTGTCCCCACCTCGTCCTCGCAGTACTTGCGGATGACCTCCAGCGCGCTCTCGGTGATCAGCGGCGCCTCCAGCACCACTTTGGTGAAGATCCTGCCAGGAAACGCAGGTCAGTGGGGTGGGGACACCACCACCGAGGTGAAGATGATGCCACCAGTGTGGGGACACCACCAGGGGGAAGATGCCACCGGTGTGGGGATACACACAGGGCAACCCCGGGGACCATCTGGAGGGATGTCCGTGGCCTGAGAGCTGCCGCTCCCGCCGTGGAGCCTGGTGGCACCATCTTGTCCCCGGTGGCACCGTCCCTACCCGTCCTTCTGGTCAGGCTTCTCCTGGAGGCCGGCGAGGAGCCCGATGAGACACTGGTCGTAGCGCTCCAGGCTGCCGGCGGGGAGCTGGCTCAGGTAGACGTTGTACTCCTGGAAGAGCCAGGCGAAGGCCAGGTCCAGGCGGCCGCGGACGTCGTCCAGGATGAAGGCCAGGACCTCGCTCTTCAGCGGCACCTCGAACTGTGTCACCAGCGAGGCCAGGATCTTCACACGGGCCTGTTGGTGGGGCGGGAAGGGGGGTCTGGGTGAGACGTGGGGGGGGAAGGGGGGGTCTGGGTGAGACGTGGGGCAGGAAGGGGGGTCTGGGTGAGACGTGGGGGGGGAAGGGGGGGTCTGGGTGAGACGTGGGGCAGGAAGGGGGGTCTGGGTGAGACGTGGGGGGGGAAGGGGGGGTCTGGGTGAGACGTGGGGCAGGAAGGGGGGTCTGGGTGAGACGTGGGGGGGGAAGGGGGGGTCTGGGTGAGACGTGGGGCAGGAAGGGGGGTCTGGGTGAGACGTGGGGGGGGAAGGGGGGGTCTGGGTGAGACGTGGGGCAGGAAGGGGGGTCTGGGTGAGACGTGGGGGGGGAAGGGGGGGTCTGGGTGAGACGTGGGGCAGGAAGGGGGGTCTGGGTGAGACGTGGGGGGGGAAGGGGGGGTCTGGGTGAGACGTGGGGCAGGAAGGGGGGTCTGGGTGAGACGTGGGGGGGGAAGGGGGGGTCTGGGTGAGACGTGGGGCAGGAAGGGGGGTCTGGGTGAGACGTGGGGGGGGAAGGGGGGGTCTGGGTGAGACGTGGGGCAGGAAGGGGGGTCTGGGTGAGACGTGGGGGGGGAAGGGGGGGTCTGGGTGAGACGTGGGGCAGGAAGGGGGGTCTGGGTGAGACGTGGGGGGGGAAGGGGGGGTCTGGGTGAGACGTGGGGCAGGAAGGGGGGTCTGGGTGAGACGTGGGGGGGGAAGGGGGGGTCTGGGTGAGACGTGGGGCAGGAAGGGGGGTCTGGGTGAGACGTGGGGGGGGAAGGGGGGGTCTGGGTGAGACGTGGGGCAGGAAGGGGGGTCTGGGTGAGACGTGGGGGGGGAAGGGGGGGTCTGGGTGAGACGTGGGGCAGGAAGGGGGGTCTGGGTGAGACGTGGGGGGGGAAGGGGGGGTCTGGGTGAGACGTGGGGCAGGAAGGGGGGTCTGGGTGAGACGTGGGGGGGGAAGGGGGGGTCTGGGTGAGACGTGGGGCAGGAAGGGGGGTCTGGGTGAGACGTGGGGGGGGAAGGGGGGGTCTGGGTGAGACGTGGGGCAGGAAGGGGGGTCTGGGTGAGACGTGGGGGGGGAAGGGGGGGTCTGGGTGAGACGTGGGGCAGGAAGGGGGGTCTGGGTGAGACGTGGGGGGGGAAGGGGGGGTCTGGGTGAGACGTGGGGCAGGAAGGGGGGTCTGGGTGAGACGTGGGGGGGGAAGGGGGGGTCTGGGTGAGACGTGGGGCAGGAAGGGGGGTCTGGGTGAGACGTGGGGGGGGAAGGGGGGGTCTGGGTGAGACGTGGGGCAGGAAGGGGGGTCTGGGTGAGACGTGGGGGGGGAAGGGGGGGTCTGGGTGAGACGTGGGGCAGGAAGGGGGGTCTGGGTGAGACGTGGGGGGGGAAGGGGGGGTCTGGGTGAGACGTGGGGCAGGAAGGGGGGTCTGGGTGAGACGTGGGGGGGGAAGGGGGGGTCTGGGTGAGACGTGGGGCAGGAAGGGGGGTCTGGGTGAGACGTGGGGGGGGAAGGGGGGGTCTGGGTGAGACGTGGGGCAGGAAGGGGGGTCTGGGTGAGACGTGGGGGGGGAAGGGGGGGTCTGGGTGAGACGTGGGGCAGGAAGGGGGGTCTGGGTGAGACGTGGGGGGGGAAGGGGGGGTCTGGGTGAGACGTGGGGCAGGAAGGGGGGTCTGGGTGAGACGTGGGGGGGGAAGGGGGGGTCTGGGTGAGACGTGGGGCAGGAAGGGGGGTCTGGGTGAGACGTGGGGGGGGAAGGGGGGGTCTGGGTGAGACGTGGGGCAGGAAGGGGGGTCTGGGTGAGACGTGGGGGGGGAAGGGGGGGTCTGGGTGAGACGTGGGGCAGGAAGGGGGGTCTGGGTGAGACGTGGGGGGGGAAGGGGGGGTCTGGGTGAGACGTGGGGCAGGAAGGGGGGTCTGGGTGAGACGTGGGGGGGGAAGGGGGGGTCTGGGTGAGACGTGGGGCAGGAAGGGGGGTCTGGGTGAGACGTGGGGGGGGAAGGGGGGGTCTGGGTGAGACGTGGGGCAGGAAGGGGGGTCTGGGTGAGACGTGGGGGGGGAAGGGGGGGTCTGGGTGAGACGTGGGGCAGGAAGGGGGGTCTGGGTGAGACGTGGGGGGGGAAGGGGGGGTCTGGGTGAGACGTGGGGCAGGAAGGGGGGTCTGGGTGAGACGTGGGGGGGGAAGGGGGGGTCTGGGTGAGACGTGGGGCAGGAAGGGGGGTCTGGGTGAGACGTGGGGGGGGAAGGGGGGGTCTGGGTGAGACGTGGGGCAGGAAGGGGGGTCTGGGTGAGACGTGGGGGGGGAAGGGGGGGTCTGGGTGAGACGTGGGGAGGGAAGGGGGGGTCTGGGTGAGATATGGGGGGTCCCGGGCGTACCTGGGCGGCCCCGCTGCAGGCCACGGCGCGCTCGGCGCGCAAGATGCGCTTGACAGCGTTGAGCTTCAGCTTCTCCATCTGCGTGTCGCTCAGCGGCTTCAGGACGTCGGCCAAGCGGAAAACCTTCTTGCGGCCACCGGCACCCGCCAGCCTTGGAGGAGGAGGAGGAGGAGGAGGAGGAAGGGTCCGTCAGCACCCACGGGTGCCTTTGCCCATCCCCGAGGAGCAGCGCTTGGGGAAGAGCTCTCACCGGGGCTGCGTGGCTGGGATGATGGGCTCAGGGCGGCGTTTGGCTTGGGGGGCTTCCTCCTCCAGCGGGTTGGTGGCCGAGCCTTGGGCACCCAGCACGGAGATGGCCTGGCCCTGGGCCAGCGCCGAGAGCCGCCGCTTGATGACCACGCTCTCCGGCTTGGCCGCCTTCTCCTCCTTCGGCTCCTCCTTCAGGTGCTTCGTCTGCTCCACGCCTGAGAAGGTCCAAGTGGCCCCTGACTCCTTGCCGGCCCCTTGGCTCGGGTGAAGGACCCCGAAAAGCTCCCGTCCCACGTACGAGAGGGGTGAAGGCCTCAAAAAATATTTCAGGAGGTGGTTTCGAAACCCCAAACCGCAAGATGACCCGAGGACAGAACAAGATACTGGAGCTAAACCCAAGACACTTCTCTTGTCCAACCCTATTGACTCGCTCTAACGCAATTAACCCTATTTTCCCTGCTGTGTTTCTGCCTGGCAGTAATTAGTGAGGTGAACCTTGCTGCTAAAGGTGATGGGACAAGAGGAAACGGTCTCAAGCTGCACCAGGGGAGGTTGAGGATGGATATTGGGAAAAATTTCTCCCCCCAAAGGGTTGTCAAGCCTTGGAAGAGGCTGCCCAGGGCAGTGGTGGAGCCTCCAGCCCTGGAGATGGTGGAGACCGGGCAGATGTGGTGCTGAGGGCCATGGGTCAGTGGGGGTTTGGGCAGTGTTGGGTTGATGGTTGGACTCAATCTCAGAATCCAAGAATCACATGGGGTTGGAAGGGACCCTCTGGAGATCATCTCCTCCAACCCCCGGCCAGAGCAGGTCCCACCCAGAGCAGGTCCCACAGGAACGTGTCCAGGTGGGGTTTGAATGTCTCCAGAGATGGAGACTCCACCACCTCTCTGGGCAGTCTCTGCCAGGGCTCTGACACCCTCACAGTGAAGAAATTCCTCCTCATGTTGAGGTGGAACTTCTTCTGTTCCAGTTTGTGCCCATTTCCTCTTGTCCCTGGGCACCACTGGAAAAAGACTGGCCCCATCCTCCTGACACCCACCCTTGAAGTATTTATAGGTGTTGAACAGATCCCCCCTCAGCCTTCTCTTCTTCAGACTAAAAAGACCCGAGTCCCTCAGCTTTTCCTCATCAGAGAGATGCTCCAGGCCCCTCATCATCTCTGTAGCCTCTGCTGTCCCCTCTGCAGCAGTTCCCTGTCCTTCTGGAACTGGGGAGCCCAGAACTGGTCCCAGTGCTCCAGCTGGGGCCTCCCCAGGGCAGAGCAGAGGGGCAGGATGACCTCCCTGGACCTGCTGGTCACCCTCTTCCTGATGCCCCCCAGGATGCCATTGGCCTTCTTGGCCACCAGGGCCCATTGCTGGCCCCTGGGAATCACAATCTGGAAGGTCCAATTCTACGATTCAACTTAACGAACCTCGGCCAACAGCTCCTGAACTTCGTTAATTCACATCCAACTTCTCCAACTCTGCCAAATCCTTCTTTTACCTCAATTAAACCCCGTTGCTGCTCCCCACTTTGAGTGAGGCACCTTCCACTCCTCCACAACCGACGCCGAGCGCCCCGAAAAGGCGCTGCCACGGAGGAGAGGGGGGACACAGAGGGGACACGCACACCCACCCCTGGTCCCCACTCACCCGGGCCCAGCCCCGCCGCCGTCATCTGGGTGGCCATGAGGCGGGCGAGGTGTTTGATCTGCGCCTCGGTGCCGGCCGATTCCACCGGGGTGTAGGTGGCCTGGAAGGAGGCGGGCATGGCCTCGGGCAGGTACACCATGCTGATCAGCACCTGCACAAAAGAAGGGGGGGGACACACACCTTAGAGCCCCCCCTGCCCCGTGGAGCGCCGCGTCCCCCGCCAAGAGGTCCCCCGTCCCCTGACCAGGTTGGCGACGTTCTCCGGGGTGAGCAGGGGCTGCAGGAACTCGGCCGTGATGTCCGTGTCCGAGGGGACGTTGGCCTGGCCGCCGGCTTTGGGGGCCGCCACCAGCGTCGGCTCCAGGTCCTTGTCCTCGTCGTCCTCACCCAGGGGGGGCTCTGCCAAAACGGGGGGTGGTCAGGGTCCCTCGGAGGACCCTGGGGGTGGTCAGCAACTGCCAGGCAGCAGGGACCCCGGAGAAGGAGCAGGAGGTCTGTTGTGCCACCAATGGTCCCCAGGAGGGACTGGGAGGACACCAGGAGAGCACTGGGAAGACCTATGTGGTGTTTAATGCTACTACCCATCTCCAGGAGAGCACTGGGAGGACCTTCGGGGCATTTAATGCCACCACCCACCCCCAGGAGAAACCAGAAAGACCCTGGGTGGCACTGGGAAGACCTTGAGGGGGTTGTAATGCCACCACTTGTCCCCAGGAGGGTACTGGGAGGACTCCAGGAGGGACTGGAAGGACCCCAGGAGACCACTGGGAAGACCTATGTGGTGTTTAATGCCACTACCCATCTCCAGGAGAGCACCAGGAGGACCTTCGGGGCATTTAATGCCACCACCCACCCCCAGTGTGACCAGGAAGACCCTGGGTGGCACTGGGAAGACCTTGGGGGGGGTTGTAATGCCACCACTTGTCCCCAGGAGGGTACTGGGAGGGCTCCAGGAGGGACTGGGAGGACCCCAGGAGAGCACTGGGAAGATCTATGTGGTGTTTAATGCCACTACCCATCTCCAGGAGAGCACCGGGAGGACCTTCGGGGCATTTAATGCCACCACCCACCCCCAGTGTGACCAGGAAGGAACTAGGTGGACCCGGAGGGGCACTGGGAGGACCCAAGGGACATTCAATGCCACCACCCACCCCCAGGAGAAACCAGAAAGACCCTGGGTGGCACTGGGAAGACCTTGGCGGGGTTGTAATGCCACCACTTGTCCCCAGGAGGGTACTGGGAGGACCCAAGGGACATTTAATCACAGAATCACAGAATCTTCTAGGTTGGAAGGGACCTTAAAGATCATCTTGTCCAACCGTCAACCTGACTGACAGAAATAGACACCCACACAACAAACAAGGAGCATCATCACTAATGCCACCACCCATCCCCAGGAGAAACCAGAAAGACCCTGGGTGGCACTGGGAAGACCTTGGGGGGGTTGTAATGCCACCACTTGTCCCCAGGAGGGTACTGGGAGGACCCTGGGTGGCATCAGGAGGACCCGAGGCAGCACAGTGCCACCAGGGAGGGGACAACCGTGACGCCCCCGCATCTCACCGATCTTCATCTTCTTGAGGGTGGCGTCGGGCTCGTCGCGGGGCCGTTTGCGGGTGTCGCGGGGGCTGGGCATGCTGCGGGCGATCTCGGCCTGCTGGGTGCCCAGGTCGACCAGCAGGGTGGTGATCTGGGGCTGGAAGTCCCCCGAGGAGGGGTGCCGCAGGACGCTCAGGAGGTGCAGCTTCAGGTTCTTCCGGACGCTGCTCACCTGCGACTTGGCCAGGGTGGGGGGCAGGTTGGCTGTGAGAGAGGGGACACACACACCCCCCGTGTTAGGGACACATGGGGACATGGGACAGGATGGTTTGGGTGGGATCAGCTCTGCTGTCCCCAAGAGGGTGGGGGTGAGCTTGGATCCTTGGGCAAGATGGAAGGTGGGAGCTCAGAAACTGGGGACGTTTGGGTCTCCAGCCTCCCGTGGTGGGACCTTGGGGACCCAGGACTCCCATGCGGGGAGACCCTGGGCTGAGAACGTTTGGGTCCCCAGCCTCCCATGGGGGGCACCCTGGGAGGAGGACATTAGGGTCCCCAGCCTCCCGTGGTGGGACCTTGGGGACCCAGGACTCCTGTGCGGGGGGACCCTGGGCTGAGGACATTTGGGACCCCAGCCTCCCGTGGTGGGACCTCGGGGACCCAGGACTCCCCAGGGGGGGACCCTGGGCCAAGGACATTTGGGTCTCCAGCCTCCCATGGGGGGCACCCTGGGAGGAGGACATTTGGGTCCCCAGCTTCCCATGGGGGGCACCCCTGGGAGGAGGACATTTGGGACCCCAGCCTCCCGTGGTGGGACCTTGGGGACCCAGGACTCCCCATGGGGGGCACCCTGGGAGGAGGACATTTGGGACCCCAGCCTCCCGTGGTGGGACCTTGGGGACCCAGGACTCCCCATGGGGGGCACCCTGGGAGGAGGACATTTGGGACCCCAGCCTCCCGTGGTGGGACCTTGGGCTGAGGACATTTGGGACCCCAGCCTCCCGTGGTGGGACCTTGGGGACCCAGGACTCCCCAGGGGAACGGGTGAGCCCAGGAGCTCCCCACCCTACGAGCGCTGAAGGGGGGACCTTGGGGCACCAGGGCCACTCTTCTCCCTCGGGTGACGGTGACACCGGGCGAGGTGACGCTTACCGTGGAGGGTCTCGTAGGCTTGGATGACCTCGGCCATGAACATGGGCCGCTGGCGGGCGATGGTGGCCAGGGAGCCCAGCGCGGCCGTCAGGTTGATGCTGGAGATGGCCGGGTGCACCATGAACTTGAGGAGCTGCTCCAGGGCGGCCTTGCCCTCCTCCCACAGCACGTCT